TGCATGTGTTGTTTTGTGTCTCTTTCGTGTCTTCATTTGAAGATTCTCCCAAAATTCAGAAGTGTCGTGGCCAGAAGTGATCGTTGTTTCCTAGTTTTATCTATAGTTTTTATGGGGTGGTGTTGTTTGGAAATGAAACACCTTGAACCTTCACAAGGATGTGAAACGATTCTTCTTTCACTGGTGATTCAGTTTGGAATCTGTCCAATGTATGAAAGCTGGCAGTTTGAGTTGATGGTTTGGGATATGTGTGGGATATGTTGGGATCTTGGAGATTCATTGGAGATATGGGAATACTTTGTAATGCCCATGTTCGGGGTGTCCCCGTGTCAAACCCGTTGAAAAATTGGGAATCAAGCCTTGCAGGTGGTATTTTTGTGTCAAGAAAAGCTCTGCGTCCTGTTCTTGTTTCTTCTGGCTGTTGTTCTGATCGATTTGAAGGTGGTTTTGACGTTGTACATTTGCGAATCTGCAGTCTTCACCATCAGATTCTGGTTCCTCATTGGCTTTGAGAAACTCACTTCCATTATCATTGTCACAACTTTGACCTGTCACTTTGTGGTGGCAATAAGCCTCGTGCTCATTATCCACAACATTCGATCTAACATCGCTGCCAGACAAAATTCTGGCAGCGCATCCTCCTTGATGCTGGGATTTCGACACGTCCTGCGTGGAGTCTGCGATGGAGATTTCCTCTTGGATCGAAGCAGCTGTTCCATCCTGGATGATGCCAGTTGCCTGGAGCGGCTGTTGAAGTCCAAGAAGAGCCTTGGTTCCGCGGGGCTGGGAGAGGTTACGAGATTGGGCACCCTTCAAAATGGAATGGTTTATGACTGGATTACTGAAAATGACGAAATCAGTGTGTCTCTGGAGTGTCTCTGGACCTCATGCTTACCAAGGTACATATGCGAGAAACTAGTTCGACCTTCAACATGATTGATACGAGCAAGATCTCTGTTGAAAATGAGAACAAAAGGTATGGTCGGTATATTGGTTTGAGGTCATTTCAGTGTATCTAGCAGCACTTGGATGCATTGGGGACTCAACAGTGAAATATGCAAATATGCGGGCGTATCCAACAGTGTTTCCAAACCCAGGATTTCCGGTTGTGGAGCTAATGAAATGGACATTTCAGGGGTCCCAGATTTGATCACACCTTCTTTGTATCCAGAGACGCTCACCTCCAGGAAGCTGTCTGAGAGCAACTTCCTGGACCTCTTCATGGATGCAGAAAGCCGCTTGAATTTTTTGAATTTCCTAAATGCACAAGATCCGTCTGAGATGAGCACCATACCACGTATACCACGAGGCTTGAGGGTTTCACTCCAGGGAGCAGATGGTCCCGTTTCTTTAGATCTCTTCCACACCAGGATTCCCAGTCAGGACTCGGCAGGCGACTATTGCTTCTCGTCTCCAGAAAAAAAAACATTGATTTTTCATATTGTTTTAATCAATGTACATAGCCGCTAGAATCATGTATATGTTCTTTGAATCATTGGGAAGAAGTTTCACGCTTTTCTGATGTTATCTATTTCCAATATGGCTATGGGGAAAAATATATTTCTTTTCGGCTGACTCTTCCGCTATTTGGCCATTTGCGGTTCCGGGAGGCTTGTTGGCCATGAAAGAGGATCCAGAACAAAAGCCACCACCCGACGCATCAGAAGCCGGAGCGAGAGCACTTCCAAGAAGTTTTCTCTCGACAGCTCCCTCGTGTACGCGAAGCTCAGAGACGGAAATTGTGGATACCTGTGAAGAGCTCATGGAAATTGCTCTGTTGTTTACCAATGAGACTGGGCTTCTGGATGTCAAGGAAGTTCGTTTAAGCTTCCATCGTCAATCATGGGCCCCCACCATGGAATCAGGCATGCCAACCCTGCGCAGATTTATCCGGCCGACCGATTGGGATAGGATAGAAACAATGATTCAAAATGTCGTCAACCTTCCCCCATCCGAAATTGAGCGCCGGTGCTACTTTCGCCATCCAATGCTCTTTCGCGTGCCCGGGGCCTCTCGGAGCTACATGTGTTCCAGGCAAACTTATATCACCTTGCACTGCCCTCAAGTGATGGACGACCCAGAGAGACCCATTTTTTTCCGGATGCATTTGTCATCATTTGATGCGAATCACATAGCTCGCCCCAGAGAACAAGAGTTGGGCGGCATCGAGGAATCCGTTGAGGAAGAAGGAGGCATTGAGGAAGGACAGACAACAGAGACAACAGACGATGAAACATGATATCATGTGATGACAGATATCACAGATGACGACCAGTGGCTAGACGGCTAGACAACAAAGAGCGTCCATAGCATCGAAGCGCTATTTGGCGCAACTGAGCGCATGCGAGTCAGAAAACCGTTGGGCTGGATGTGATGGTGACCCCAGCCATTGTAGTTTTGCAGTTGTGTATTCAGACTCATGATAGTGTGTTTGAAATGAGCGCAGAAGGAAACGTCAGAAGAAGAGAGCTGTTTCGTGAATCCTAAAACCATTCCTGTTTAGATTCGACTTCGCTTCAATGGATTGGACATAACTGTTTTTTGGGGGGGCCACTCCCCAAATGCATTGTTTTGAGTTTCCGTCTTGTGTCAACAAGATTTCTCAAACTCTTGCGAAACAAGTTGCATTTCACGGCGCGACGCAAGGACTTCGATTTGGCATCTTATTGGATCGTGCCTACAGCCCGTTACCGCCTTCATACAGAGCTCGCCCTGCCCAAGGCGAAGCAAATCACGGCACCGTTTCACATCCCGATCAACTTTCTTTAATACGCAACATTCTACAACTGTTTCTGGGTACCCAACCATTGCAAGTTCAGTGTGCGATACGATTTTCGTTGATAATTTCTCTTTCAAGTTCGTTTGTGCTAGCGTCATACATCTATACGATTCTATACAATTCACATAATTAACAGATTTTGCATCATGCACAATATTGAAAACATAGTCACAAAATATCACAAACATTTGTGATGCCTCATCTACTTGAGGACATTCACTTGGAAGAAAGCTTGGTGTTCGCGTGCTTGCAGGACGGAATCCGGGACCGGTGACTGATAGGATTTCGTTTGTGTAAAGCACTCTGAATAGAGCTGACAATTTGCAATGCCAACAGGGCCAACAGTCTGAAAATCTCCTGGTGATACCGAAGTAAGTCGAAACAGTTGAGACACAAGTCCCAGCCAAGCTCCTCGCCATATCTCGCCATACGCCATACGCCAGACCTCCAAATGGCCTGTCTTCTACGATCCAGATCATCTTGCACCCGGTTTTTTGCAAAAATTCTTCCCAGGCGCTCCGGCCAGTCCGGTGACGCGTAGCATCGCGTAGCATCGCGTAGCTTTGAGTTTTCGATTTTTTCAAAGATCGGTTGCAGATTCGCCTTGCCTCGCCAGGTGCTGTGCGACTCACCATGGGATCCACTGACTTTCAAAAGGACGGTCGAGAGAGTCGAGAGAGTCGAGAGATCACTTGCGAAATTATGGCTTGGACCTCCATTTTGAGAGTCTTTGGATGTGTTTGGTGTCTCAACGTATCGTCATGTCAACGTATTCTCAACATGAGTTGGAACATGCATCCAATCGAATATCAATGCATATCCAATTGGAATGTGTGGATAGATGTGGATAGTATAGCTATATTCATTTATTCATCAAGTATAATAGATTCTTAGATTATAATAGATTATAATAGTGTATTCATTTTATAAACTTCGTCTCTTGAGAATCGCCAGCTGTACGGTACCCGCTTGTAATGCCGCCAGGATTTGTTGTCCAGCCTGTCATCCCGTGCGGTCACCAGCACGGACGCCTGGGGAGGAACTTCTGAATTTTGCTGCTACAAAATGCTACAAAAAAGATGGCCCTGAGTTTGCGTTTTGCGAAAGGGGTCAGAGATTCTGTATCTGGTACATTTTGGTACTGACCTGGTACTGACCTGGTAATGCTGGTCGATGCTGGTCGATTTTTCGCAAAGACGTAAATTCTTGGCTCCGAGCTGCAGGCCCATCAGATGTGTCGGAGGTCCTGGGACAGGCTCCAGTACTTGTGACTGCCTGCCACCGCAAATCTGATTCACAGTCACTGCAGTCACTGCAGTCTCATCCTTGAAAAATAAAAATAAAAATGTCGTTTTCTGTCAGGGGATCCCTTCAAAAATGTCGAAGGTGATCATCATCGAAAACGCCTACCTGCCAGCTATTCGTGACACTGACATCCTGACCGAATTGTCTGGGAGCACAGCTGCGAGGTGTCAGGAAGGGATGCATGGCAGTACTCTCAATACATTTTAATCTTAATACCAAATTGTACCAAACCATCAAAAACCCATATATCCAGGCATTGCAATTATTGTAAAGTGCCGAATATACGATATTCTACAATGTGCCCTGACATGCATCGTGCACACTTCATTCTGTCAGCCTTCCTTACTTCATAAGTCCAGTTTCAAGGTGGCAAAAAAAATATTGCTATAATTTTCACATATTTTCACATTGCTTCGCTTTCATGCAAATGTCCCGCCACTTTCCACCCTGGCAGGGTTGCTCGACGTCAGTTGGTGGCTGCAGGTCTTCAAACAGCAGGCTGTAAGTCGCTGGTGTTCTATGTGTGCCTTTTCTTACAAAAAAACTAAGGCAAGTTGTTTTTTCAAGCTTAACCTTGGCAATTTTTTGCAGGTCCATCAGTTTTCGAAGGAATGTCACAGAATGTCAATAGATTCCATGGCCATCAGAACTTTCTGAGCAGACAGGTCTGGTGCAGTTGTCTGCGGGTGTGGAAGACACCGTGGCCCCCTAGCAGCCTTAGCACGTCACCACGTCATGGATTACTAATCCAAAATGATCAAAATTGGGATGTCACCAGGTCATTTCATGGAAAACTAGGAAAAAATGGGCAAACACATGCTAACACAAGGAATACTCTTGAAATCTGCTGAATACTCTCGATTGTTCACCCAGAATTGGGCATATTGGTGTATCCATTGGATTCCGTTGGTTAACGGGCAATGCGGCATGACAATATAATCAATGTACATCAGTGTCAGTATTCCATATCGTATATATCGTTGATTCTACTCTGCTGAGTGTGAGCTCCTGGCGGCCAAGGTTCATGTAGATCCGCGTATTGCTCCTTGGCGTCATGGAATCTACCGGATCTGCAGCTTCTGACGAACATTTTTTGTGAAATGTGGTGGAAAAATGATGGATCCCGGTTCCACCCAGTCATATCTCAAGTTCTACAGCTGAGGTGTTGATTTTCATCACTGACATGGGAGAGCCGTGGAACCATGACGCCATGTCCAAGAACTTTTTGATGATCGACTTTCAGCTGCTTGGTGAGCAGAATGACGATGGATGCGAAACCATTGGTAAGAGGAATCCCCTCGAAACGACTTTATTTCACGGAGAATTCCATGTATCTATAGTTGATTTCACTTTCTTATTTGGCGATGGTTGAATTGAATTCAAATTGTTGATGACCAGAGAGTTGGATGTGCTGGACTCCAGATGACTCCAGTTGGCGCGCCTTCGAGGTTAACCCGAGAAGACGGGCTCAGTGGTCCACTGATGGACGGGGCTCCAACTCATCTCCAAAGGGACCATGACCAAAGACCAATGAAGACCATGAAAATCGGTGAAAACCGGTGAAAACATGACATTTCTAATGCCAAACAATGTCACTGTGAGATTTCTAGATTTCGAATGCACATGCACTGACAGATGAACGACCTTTTCGGAAGAGTTTTTGGCATTCCAAGATGTCTTCGCCAAGATTTGCCCTGCTGCAGGACTTGATGACTGACACGGTTTGTGCCAAGGCTATGCCCAGTGTTCAGCAGGCCCGGACGACCCCAGGTTAGTTATGGTTAGTTTTATGGTTAGTTATGGTCAGTTCATTCCCATGTCCTCAATCTGTGTTTGATATCTTTTTTTGCGACAGGAGATATGTCAAGATAGTCATAGTTTCGGAGTCGTTGAATCCGTTTTGCCAGGAGTTGAAACAGCATCTTGGCTGATCACAGGAGGAAATTCACCATCCACTGGCTGCATTTCCAGAAAATGTGAAAAACCAAGGCTTGGACCCGAATTTTCGCAACTCATGGCGGAGTGGTATCGACAAGATAAGGAGCTGATCCAGAAGCCTCTTGGATCATTCGGCTTAGCACCAACTTGGCAGGTCCAGGGTTGAGGATGCTGTTGGTTTTGTTGGTTTTGTTGGTTTTGTTGGTTTTTGGTCCGTGCCTTCGTGCCATGTTGAACTCCATGTTGAACTCCAGACTGAACCCATGAAAGCCCCTGTGTCCCCAAACCAAGGTTGGCCTTCCACCACCATGAATCAGAAGTCACGGTCTAAGAGATCATTAGCAGATCAGCCGAATCCGACTTTGATGATTTGGTTAATGCTGAAAATCAGGATTGCAAATATACCAGTGGACCCACGAACATCAATATAATACAGGGTCCATCAGGGACCTAGTTTTGATTGGCACCACTGACCGAAAGGTGGAGTTCCCAACAGAGGAACAGCTCAGGGAGACAATGAATCTGAAGGTGCAGCCCGAGAAACTGGTGGCGATTACTGGGATTGGGTTCAGACGGGCCGGGTGGAATGAAACAGTTGGCACTTGGCACTGAGTTTTTTTATGTTCTCGAATTGATACAAATACATGAATGATAGAGCGGTTCCATTGGATGACTTGCTTTTTGTTGCAACTTGGTCCAGAATTCGTCGTCTGTTTTTGATCCCTCCACGCTGGATCGCAGATGAATCTGGAGTCCGTTGGACGGAAACTGCTCAAGACCCGTGACAGCGAGGTGAAGCTACAGTGGCTTGGCCAATCTTGGCCATGCCAAACCAATCCTTGGATGAAATTGGGGGTTTGACATGTTGTGTGATTTGTGATATTTGTGTGCACCCCCTTGTGCAGAAGATGGGACTACTATTTGCATTGATTTACCATCAGGTTTACAAGAGATTGAGATTCACCATCAAACTGAATCCTGTCAGCCTGTCAGTTCCAAGAAGAAGTCCTTTACCAGTAAACTCAGTAAACTCAGTAAACTAGATCGTTGCCATCATATTTGCCCATCTACAGCTTCGCATTTGTGTCAGATTTGCCTTGATCCCATTCCATTATGGTTTTTTTAAGTTTATTGCTAAGATCTTTGAATCTTTGAGAAATTTTGAGAAGGGGCACCTTTTTCCCAATCAGGCTGGCAATTTGGTTTCCATTGCCGTTGAGGCAGCAGCGTGCAACCCATGACCTGCTGGTGTCCTCCTTATGTGCCATGGCGGTTGCCGCAGAAGAGCCTGGGAGACCCAGACAGCACCGGACGGCTCACTGCAAAAAATGTTATAAGACACTTATAAGGCTCTTGTAAGACTCCAAAAGTTGCTAAAGTGAGTTACGACATGAAGCACATTTCCCATGATATATACTGTAGTTTCGTCGGTTTGCTACGTTAGCCCAGTAAGACCAGCAGATACCAACAGTCATCCTGGCGCCGAGGATCTTCAACTTATGCCCAGCATCCAGCATTCCATTGTCAGGTCTGTTGGCCAGCGATGACCCTTTGAGACAAATCCCAAAGAAGGTAGTAAGACGAGGAGATGATAGAAGATGAAATTCTTCTATCGAATTCGTCACAACAGGGAATTCTACTGCATTTGCAGCCAGTGGAACACTTGGAATATCTTGGAATTCTTCCACTGAACGTTTTGTCGATCAGAGACAGACCTGGTCAGGCGCCTGGCGTGTTTGCGAAGAGTTCATGCCCGAGCCCCCGCCTGAAGATCGCAAGAAGTCAAACCGCAACTTGGCTCTGCCATGGCGAGGTATGCACCGTATGATCCGTATGTCTGGTATCTCCCCAATGTTTGCAACTTGTCGTGTGAACACAAATTCAACATTAACTAATCATTCACTAAAAGTCTAAGTTACCAAAATATGCAAAAATCATCAAAAATCCATACATCTCCGTTTCAGCCTTTCCCACCTTTCCAGGCGACTCGGACTATGCCGGCATGGCCCGCCGCGCTGTGTTGGCCGGGCTCTGGGAACGCATCTCCCCGGGTTTGCCACGACAGCATCTCGGTGAAAAGGCAACGAGAGTTCATCGTTTGTTCCATTATTCTTCCAACATCCAAAGGTTTAAACGATAATGGAGAATTTGGCCATGTTTTGTGTACCTATTATTAGTGATATGCCTTATAATATATATATATATAATATGTGTATAATATATAATAAAATATACATATCAATTAATACACACCTTGATCCTTTAATACGCATAGACGGTTGATTTTGTTCAGTCTTGTCATATTCTCAGGTTTGCCTTGGCTGCGGCCCTTCGCTTGACCATGGCTTCAGCGATGCCGCAGAAGCCGCTGCAGGAGATCTTGGGGACGTTGTTACGCGGCAGAAATCACCGTTTCGGGATGTAT